AAGAAAGAAAGAAAGAAAGAAAGAAAGAAAGAAAGAAAGAAAGAAAGGAAGGAAGGAAGGAAGGAAGGAAGGAAGGAAGGAAGGAAGGAAGGAAGGAAGGAAGGAAGGAAGGAAGGAAGGAAGGAAAAGGAGGAAGGGGAAAGGATCAGTGAAGGAAAGGAAAGAAAAGGGGAAAGAGGGAGGGAGAGATGGGAGAGGGGAAGGGGAAGGGGGGAGAGGGAGAGGGAAAATGCCCCATGCTGATTGCCAGCTTCCCACTAAAAGCTCAATCTGGAAGTCAACTAGCAATTAGGAGTCACTTCTGCTTATGGTAAGGTGACCAACTTTTTTACAATGAGAAGGACGACACAAATAAATTGAAGAAAAAAAAACAAAGCCACTTGCATGAGGCGCACTCTTGCGCGCGGCACACTCTCTCAAAACAATTCTCCTGTGTGGAGTGCATGCATCTCATAATCGCGTCTGGCCGCACTGTACCGAGCCTTGATGAATCGTCATGTCAAATACAAATACGTCACATCACACACAACGGATCGGCATTACAGATTAGTCTTCAAATATCAAAAAGGAGGACATGTAGGAGGACATTTTTCAAGGAAGGACAGAACTTACAAAAGGAAGACTGTCCTCCCTAAAGGAGGATGGTTGGTCACCTTACTTATGGTGATTATTTAGATAAGGAAATTTATAAAACAATGACTCAATGGGTCATGGGTCGTCTAGTAAATACTAAAAGGGGATGTCCCATGGAACAAATAACTAACTTTGATAAGTAACCTGTTGTGCAGCTTATAAAGATATATTACAACTATATATCGACTTTTGGAAGATGCTGACACCATAACACAAACAAGATTTTCAGGCTCTAATTATATCTCAGTCTCTAATAGATTCATGCATACTGTACGTTATGGCAAAGCTTTTGTACAGTATGTCTTCGTTCTTCTGCTGGCGGTTCTCCAAAGTAGAATTCTCGCATTGTCATCCATATAAGAAGAGGGCAGTGGATGAAGATTTTAAGAAAATACATTAAAACAAAATAAAACAATGTTTTGTTGTATTTAGCAAGTACAGAATGCTGGTTTTGATGGGGAAGGGAATTAACAGGTAGGATGAATCCACACGTACCCAGGGCTGCCACCTACCTAGAAGATTTGATTTGGGCCTACATATCTCATTTAATTATCAAGGTAGGGCAGATGCAGAATTCTTTTTGTGATTTTGAAAGAACAGAAAAGTCCTGTTTGAGACAATGCACATTCATATTAAACATGGTGAAATGAAAACCATTTCAGAGAAGAATATTATAGGGCAGGATTGCTTTGAGAACAGTTTATGGCCTTTGCAAGAGGCACTTGTGTAGCTTTTCTGGCAGGATAAAACAGGTTCAACAATAAAACATTTGTTACCTCAGATCCTTATGTACACCCAGGACAAATATTTACTTTGTTAAATAAATTTCAGGACTATCTTCCATTTTATGAATAGAGAACCCCCTTGTACATTAAGCACTAGTTTAACATTGAATGGGCATGGTTGAGAGTACTTGAAAAGTTGTTGAACTTCTCTGAGCACATGAACTCTTTGGGGACTTAAACATAAAATATGAACCTTTAAATCATTCTATGAGGACAGACGGACACACAGACACAGACACAGACACACATATATTACAGGTTAAAGCAGGTGGAAAATATGTCCAAGGATGGCAAACGATTGGTTTGGCATAGTACAGCTTTCACACAACCAATTAACTAACATGTTATCAAGGCTTATAAAGTAAATTGCTTAACTGTGTTTATCTGAACCCCATTTTGAAGTGCATATTTGATGTTTGACAGAAGAGAAAATCTCTAACAAGTTATTTGTCCAACATCTGTGGATTAACACACAGTTTCTTGAGATTTGCATCTGTAAAATCATGCTCTCAGTGTCTGAAATATCTAATAATATTTCTTATACTCTGTATAATCACTCTACATAAACATTGAACAAGGAATTAATTAACCCATCACTCATTTTATTAGCTATCCTATTATCCTAACATAGCCTGTATTAATGTACCTATTATCCTTCTACAGTCTCTATTATCTTAAATCTGGAGTCGAGTTAGAATAAGAAATGTAAATTATTTTCTATCTTAGTATCCATTTGTTTCTTCATCTCAAAATCTTTTTTTCCTGTTGATGAAATGTATTTTCCTTGAAGATTTCCCTACACAAGTCACTACCCTA